CCGGTTACACCCACGGTCCACATATATCCACATAAAACCTCCCACTCTGTCCTCGGACACCTGCATAAACAACTACACGTGGACATTCACTCTACAGACACCGTGCAGCTGGTGCACTGCTCCATAGTCTTTGGAGTCTGAGCTATTTGCAGAGCTGATTTGAGAGGGCCAAAAGGGGCTGCTACCACCTACTGGGTATCCAACTTGCATGGTCTTCCTGTGAAAACCTAAGGGGAGGACGAGCCATTTTCTCTGGCAGCTGGTAGACTGACCTGTATGCAGTAATGCTGTGGTAGCGGGTGGGCAAGAGGTCCCACTGGGGCTTACAGAAACTCTTCAGAGCCCACTCAGTCCAGACACTGACCAGGGGTTCCTCAGTCCAGATGTCCAGCAGGTGCGGCTCTTTACATGAGAAGGGCCCTTTTCTCCACCAACCCGTTCTTTCTGTTTTGTGACCCCCAAGCATAATGTCCTCCCATTCCTCAGTTTCTGGAGCTGTGGAAGAGAACATTTGGACAGGATAGAGACCGAGTCCCATCAGCTTGCTTATCCACCCTCACCTACCCTGGGGCCCCAGCTTGGTGGGAGCTGCCCAGCTTCAGTGACAGCCCACAGTGTAACCCAGTACAAGATGGATATCTTTTTGGCTTTTTGCTAATAGAGGAATCAAGAAATGTCCCTTTTGAAGGAGCTGTGTGTCATCATTGTCATCAGCCCTCACCCCAGGCTTTGGTCATACTGAGTGTCCATGTTCTGGGAAGTCACAAACACTCCAAGAGGACTCTGGCACAATCAGTCATGTTCTTAAAGGAGGCTGGGGGAGGCAGAAGGACACGGGCCTAAGCAGGTCACCTGTCACCAGCCCTGGGGCTCTCCTGGGCTTCTGGCACCATGACTTGCCTGCAGATGCTGCTCCTGGTCGCCTGCCTGCTGGCACCCTCTCTGCATGTGCTCATGCAGGTGAGAGCAGGAAGGGGCAGTCTGATGGGCACCTGTGAATGTGGCGGGGGTCACTGGGACCACAGTGCTATACAGGCATGTTTATTCGTTCCCACCTGTTCCCACTGAGAATTTTAAGGGAAAGTAACAAAAGATTTTTTGAGGGAGGCAATGTGAAGAAAACCAATAAAGATGCCTCCCAGCACACAGGATTAGCTTGGTGAGTTACAAAATTTTTGCACATCTCGTACTGTGACTGAACCCTGCCTGACGATGGCAAAGATGGTGACTGATTTTGGTTTCACATGTGTAAGAGAAATGTTCTGAAATCCTTTGTTAGCATCTGGTTCAGCTGGTCAAACCAAATTCATCCCCCGGAAGAGTAAGGGAACAGTTGTGGCAGGAGTAGGGCGGATGCCTGGGAAACGTATGATAAATCCTAGGAAAAAATAAAGCTGCACGATCACCAGTTAGCCTCTTCCCAAGCTTTGGACATGTTTTTATTTGCATATAGATGAGAAACCCGGGGCCTACAGAGGTGTCTCCATATCTCTGGGGTAATGATAAAACCTACCACAATCTTGCATCTGCCAAATGCACAGACACACACACAAAGCTCACAGATCTCTCCCTCAGGCACAAAGGTGTACACACAACCTCCCACAGACACATGCAGTGACCCCCACATACACAGACTCACAAGAGGCACACGTCCACCCCACAGTGCCCACCCCTGCATGCACACACACACGCACACACACCTGCTTCTGCTCTAGCCCAAAGTACTAGTGTTGCCCTGAGTACTTCAAAGGAAACATTCCCATCGGAAAGCTAGTGAGATGGTACAGGACCGCAGCTGAGTATCGCAGGGATGCTGTTGAGTAAGCCTGCCCTGTGCTAGGCTCCTGGGAGGCTGGGCATGGCAGAGGTAGACCCGGAGCCCTCAGGACACACTGTGGGGAGGACTAGAGGAGAGAGCAGGACTGTTCCTCCTGCGGGCAGCTTCACACCATGCACTGGAAGACCCAGCAGGGCCCAGGCCATGGGGTCCAAGTCCCCAGTTTACCTATGGAGAAACAGGCCCAAGAATGGACAGGACACTCCCTGATCACATAGCAAATGTGGTCTCAGGGCCCAGGTCATGAACACCCTTTGTGGTCATGGGACAAGGCCCTCAGAAAGGGGGACAGCCCTGTTTCCTACAGGCTCCAGTTTCCTGCTGTGGGAGGGCAAGGCAGGAACTCTGGGGACAGAGCCTGGCCTCCTGTGTGAACTTGGGCCTCTCTGGGCCTCAGGCTCCTGGTCACTGCAGGGTGGGGGCTGCCCCAGGGCTCTGCAGGGCCCTTCCTCCCCCAGTGGTGCCTGATGTTTTTCTCTTTCCCTGCAGGTTTATCAAGGTCCAGGGCAGAACCATCTGCTCAGACCCTGAGGATAAGAGGGTGAGGAGGGCAGTCAGACATCTGCAAAGCCTTGCAACATCACATGAGAAGTGCTGGTAGCCTGTTCCCCTGGCATTCACTACCCCACCCAGGGCTGCCTGGCTCCAGGGACAAGGAGGAAGCTCATCACCTGAGACCCCCATGGCTGCGCAGAAGCACTTCTCGGCTGGAGCCTGGGGGCGCAGGGAGAGGGGATTAAAGTCTTGCCCTTCAGTCTGTATCAGTGTGTCTGTCGCTGCGGTGCAGGGCACCCTCCCCCCTCAGCCTGCCACCCAGAGAACATCTGGGCCCACCCTGCTCTTCAGGAGGGGAAGGCCAAGCTCAGAAGAGGGGTTCTGGAGGGTGGGGTGCAGAGGGGAGAGCCTGGCAGAGGCTCAGGAGGCCTGGGCTGGCAGTATCAGAGCGGGCGGAGCAGGGCTTCCTGCAGGCGGGAGAGGGGGGGCCGGGGGGCCTTTGCAGTGGGGTGGGGGTGGGGATGGGGCTTGCCCTGGTCTCTCCCCTGAGATCGCCACCCACTCCAGAGCGCGCCCCCACTTTTGCCTGTTACTCTGGCCTGACCCACGGGGACTGAGGACGGCCTTCCCCCTACACATTCCACGCCCGCTCATTCACTGTTGCTTGCGCACGCTGCACTTGATCAAGTCCTGGGAAGCCCTGGAGGGGCCGCTTGACCTTCTCACCAGGGGGCGCCCCGGCCTCGGGGCAGGGCAGGTTCTTGTAGCCCCTTCTAGCTCCTCAGTCCCAATTATAATACAGGCCGGCGGTCCTCAGCACCGCCAGCACCTTTCAGGGGCTCCGTTCCAGGGGCCTCTGCTTGCTCTTCAGCTTCCACGCCTCAGCTTCCATCCTGCCCCAGCCTGAACGCCTCCTCAGGTCGGCCCCCAAGTGGCTGCCATCTTCCGGAAGTGTGGTTCCCACCGCCCGCGGGTCACCGAAATCCCACCCTCCTCCGCCCGGGCCTGCCTCCAGGAAGCCTCCCGGACTGCACGGCGCGCACTGACCTCGCTCCTCTCCGGCCCAGCCCAGGAGCCTGCCACGGTAAGCGGCCGCTCCGGCTTCGCCCCGCGTGTCTGCTCGGAGCCCGGCCCACGTCCCGCCGGCCCACGGCTGCGTGGCTGACCTGTGTGGGGAGCCTGCCCTGCGCGCGGCAGAGGAGTTAGCGCCCTTCCACTGCCCTGGCCCGGATGCCCGCTCCCGGCGTCGGGGGGGGGGGGCGCCCCAGGCCTGAGGCCGCTCAGCCACCTGCAGGCCCGGCCAGGGGCCACGGGCCGTGCAAAGGCCTGTCAGCGAGGAGTCGCCTTCAGCAGCAACGCCAGGCCCATGACCCGGCACTGAGCTCCTCATGGAGTAATTTCCCATGGGTCTCGGGCCTGAGGTGATGGCAGAGACACGGAGGGGCCCTGACCTTAAAAGCCCTGAAGTTAGTCTTTGCAGCCTATTCTTTTTTTTTTTAGCATCGGGAATCGAACTCAGGACCTTGCGCTTGCCAGGCAGGCGCTTGTCCCACTGAGCTATATCCCCGGCCTCCCCTGCAACCTGTTCTTAAATGAAGCCAAAGCCAAACAAACCTGGTGAAGTGGTGCATGTCTGCAACCCAACTGCTTGGGAGGCTGAGGCAGGAGGATTCTGAGTTCAAGGCCAGCCTTGGCAACTTCATGAGACCCTGTTTTAAAAGAAAATAAAAAGAGCTGGGGATGTTCAACCCCCAGTAATGAGGGAGCAGGGTGAGCGAAGCCCTGCCCACAGTGAAATGTAACTTCCAGGAGCAGGTAAATAAATACAGCTGCTGTTGAGCACAGGGGGGGAGGGGAGAGGCTGGAGGGAGCCTGGGAGTGATCAGGCTTAAGAGTCCCCCAGGAGGTGAGCGGTGGATTCTGGACAGAAATGTGAATGCAGAATTAGGAACAAGAGTTCCACCGCGGGCCCAGGGGTGTGAGGCGGGTGGGTGGGAACAAGGTACCCATGGTGCTGTGGTCTCCTGGGAAAAGGACTTGTGAGGGACCCTGAGAGTTACAGGCTGCTCCTGAAGAGGGGCCAGGTGAACAGCGAGGAGGGGCCTGGCCCTGCATGGCTCCCCGGCCTGAAGGGCTGGCCCTTCCCTCACACTGAGCTCAGCTCAAATGCCGCCTCCCCTGGCTGGCCCCCTGGTCTCACTGATCAGCCTGGCTTCCCCGCTTCTGTGATTCCTTACCACACGGTGTCCCCAGCTTGGAGCTGCTGGTGATCCGAGCCACCTGGCTCAGGCAGTCATGGTACCTTGCTTGCAGTACCTTGTGGAGTGGGCGAAGGCAGTGTATCAATAGGGGGAGAGATGTGTCCTGCTTCTGGATATACGGCTTATACAGTTCCATCAGCGACCGACGTCCAGGTAACTCTTCAGGGGTACTGTGCAGACAGTGAGAGTCCTCCGCTGAGGAGAGTACCGTCAGGTAGCCAGACCAGGAGGAGCAGCATTTCACAGCGGGGAGTTAGAGCTGGGCCGCTCTCTGATTTCCAACCAGAGGGCTCCCCCGCCCTAAAGAAAGATCTGGAGGCTGATTGATGTTCTGTCCGCAGGACCCAGACTGGCCTCCAGGTTTACCCACTCGCTGTCCCCTCCCCTCTGCACTCCAGTTTCACCATAGCTGCTCCTTTGGGCAAAGGCATCAGCCGCTGCCTGGCTCTCCGAGGGAGAAAAAGTAAGGAAACCTCAGGAGAAGTGCTGTTGGGACTTGCAGGGCCTCTAATTCCTGACCTGGCTTTGCTGATATTGTTTCTTGTGGTAAAATATGTGAGACATGAAATTTACCATTTTAACTAGAGGATATGGCTCAGTGACATTAGGTATGTTCACAGTGTTGAGCAACTAGTTTCAGAACGTTTTCATCATCTCCAAAGAAATGGAGCCACATACCCATTACACAAGCAGTCAGTCTTTAGCCTACTCTTATTCTTATTCCCGGGAACCACTAATCTGCTTTCTGTATCTATAGATTGGCCTTTTCTGGGTATTTCCTGTAGATAGATACATACAGTATATGTACTTTTGTGTCTGCCTTCTTGCACTTAGCCTACTGTTTTCAAGGTTCATTTCTGTTGTAGTATGTATCAGAACTTAATTCCTTTTTGTGGCTGAGTAATATTCCATTACATGGGTATACTGCATTTTCTTTAGACATTTACTTAAACAGTGATGGACACTTGGGTTGTTCCCACCTTTTGGTTATTGTGATTGAAGCTGCTATTAACATTGGTGTATGAGAATCTGAAAGCCTGTGTTCAGTTCTTGTGGTATATACTTAAGAGTGGAATGACTGGGTCTAATGGCAACTCTATAATTAGCTTTTTGAGGGATGGCTAAACTCTCTCCCACGGTGGCTGCACCATGTTGTGTTCTTATCAGCAATGTGTGAGAGTTCTAATCCCTCCACGCTCTCTCAAGTGTGTACTATTTTCTGGTAGCTCATTGTGGTTTTGCTTTGGATTTCTCATATGACTAGTGATGTTGAGCACTGTTTCTTTTTTATCTATTTATTTATTTAGTACCAGGAATTGAACTCACGACCTTGTGCTTGCCAGGCAGGTGCTGTGCTGCTGAGCTATCTCCCCGGCTGAGCATTGTTACTGGTCTCCCAGCCTCCAGTCTTGCCCTTTTCCCCAAGCTGGCCACTGAAGAGTGGGCCTAGCCCTCCTTCCAAAACACAAGTCTGATCATGTCTTTGACAGCTCAGACCCCTCAGTGTTCCCAGCTGTCCCCAGGAAAGAACATAGCTCCTACCTTTCTGGTCCCCACGGCACACACCCTCCATGCCCTAGGAAATTCTCCCCATTGCTGACAGATACTTCCCTACATCCTGGTACCTGCTGCTCTGTGTGACCAGAACATTCATCCAGTGTTCTCCCCCATGGCCTATGGACCCCACCCATGCTCGTGTCTCTGACCTCACCGGCTCCCTCTGATCCTTCTCTGAGATGGGCCCTTCTGTGTGCTCCCATGTCCCCCTGAGAGTCCCCTCCCAAATCCTGTCCCTTCTCATTCTGTAACGTTAGGCCTGTGCGAAGGTCAGTTCCCTCCAAAGACTAAAATCCACAAAGGTCATGACCAGGTCTGTGGGCACCTCCTTGAAAGCTTGGTGTCCAGCACAGCTAGGCTCCATAGGACCATGCTGACCAACCTCTGGGTGGACGGGTAGAAGCGAGTGGGTGAGGACACATGGCTGTGTCTGATGTCTATCGCGAGCCCTACTTTCGCTGCCTGAAGCAGCTGTAACCTGGTTCAAACAGTGTTTGGTCAAGAGGGTCCCACCAGTCGCCCTTCTGCACCTGAATTTCAACCATGGTGCAGCTTGGGCTCAAGCAGGTCCTTCTATCCCCAGATGCACCCGAGGGACAACAGGAGGACCATCTCTTTCCATCCGGCTATTTTTTTAAAGCACCCAGATGGCATTACGTTGACTCACAGTTTGAGATCTACCACTCTGCCTGGCTCTGGCTGCTCCCATTTTTTCTGCTCTGCAAATGTCCCAGTTGAGTTCTCTGTCCCCTACACTCCAGGTCTTAGCAACCTATTGCCTGGCCCAAGGTGCGCGGAAACACCCAGTCCAGGTTGCTGAGGCCAAATGGTCCCCTCCTTTTGCTCCCCCTCCTCCATCTCCTTGCAGCCAGTGGAGGCGAAGTGGGGTCGGGTAGGCTCAGACAATAACTCCAACTCTTCCAGCCATCTGACTATGAGCAAATGATTTCAGCTCTTTTATTCCTATTTATTTATTTATTTATTTATTTATTTATTTATTTATTTATCTTTTGGAGACAGGGTCTTGCTATGCAGTTCAGGCTGGCCTTGAGCTCACTTTGTAGCCCCAGCTGGCCTCAAACTTGCAACAATCCTGCTGCCTCAGCCTCCCGAGGGCTGGGATTACAGGCGTGCGCCACCACACCTGCCTCAGCTCTTTAAAAAATTTTCTTTTCCGTGTATGTTTTACTGGCCCTGTTTGCGGTATGTAACTGTGACCTCCATCACGGGGAGTTAGTGCCTGCGTGTATCACGCCTTAATTCTTTAAAAAATCTCTTCCTTTACCCCCATCATTTGGTCCCCTTCCCTTTTGCAAAAGGTCGTTCTCTATGTCCTATTATCTTTTATCTTGCTCTTTAATTTACTTATACTGTGGGTTTCTTCTATAAGAGATACGATGCAATACTTAAGCTTGTGTGTCTGATATGCTTCACTTAACATTATGGTCTCGAAGTGCATCTGTTTTCCCACAGATGACTCAAGTTTGTCTTTCTTTATGGCGGAGGACTTCAGCTCTTTGTACCTCAGTTTCCTTTGCTATAACCCTCCCTCTGGAGGTAGCTACGAGAGCGGGTGGCGTTAGTTCAGATGGTGCACCACGTGGTGAGCAGACTCTTGCCCCTTTCTAAAAATCCTGTCCTTCAGGGTTATACTCACTGACCACAGGGCCCTTCTCCAGCCTCTTCCCACTTTCCTTTTCTCTCCTGAGGCCCCTATGAACGGCTGACCTTTAATGAGCATTTACTTGAAATTTGGCATCGTCAAAGCCTTTATGTAACTCTGGCTCTGACTGCAGCTTTAAGGAGGATGTAATATGTCAGCCCCATTTACAGATGGGGAAACTGAGGCATAGGCTGGCAGCCTGTCAAAGCTCATATGCTTGGAAGTAGCAGGCCTGGACCCCTCACTGACATACATCCTGCCTCCTGAGGTGGGCCCAGGCTTCTGTCCTGGGCCTTCTCTTTCCCTGCAACCCTTTCTAGGTATTGCCAAGGTCCTAGATCTTTTTTTAAAATTAATTTTATTGGTATACTTTTGATATACATAGCGATCACATTCATCACAGGGAATTTGTATCTGTACATGATGGATCTTGATTCTTTTTTTCCCATTCTTCTCCCCCTCTTCCTGTCCTTATTTACAAAAGTTTTGTTTCTTTTTTGCCTTCTATTCTGTTTTTTTTCCCTTTTCCCTTCCTTCCCTTCCACCTCGCTGGCTTCCCTTCCCATTTGGATATAAAGAATTCCTATGATTCAATCACCTTTCTCAAACACATTTTTAAAAGCCATGCAGGCTTTGATTTGTAGTCTAGCCCTTCTGGCCTTTTAGTAACTTCTTAGATAAGAACGTGTGAGGTTAGATCCCTTCCAGTATAGCTCATATTTGCAAGTTGGAAATAAAGTCCAAGCCTTGTAGGCATCACTATTGTGTTTCCTGTGAGAATTAAAAAAGAAAAAAGAATTCACCGAGAATGAATCACATATAAGGATGAGGGTTTATGTGTATATCAAGGTATGTCCCCTGGACCTTGGGCCTGGAGGTCCTCTTAGGATGGGGAGCTGCTTAAGGACTTGGGCCTGGCCTTCACCTGATCTCTTGTCCCTCGATCCTCGTACAGGCCTGGTGCACAGTGCCTCTGTGTGACCTGTGAGGGAGCGGGGAACAGCATTTCTTGGTGAGGGAGCAGCATGACCAAAGCCTGAGGTGGGAAATGCTCAGTTAAGTGCACAGCAGGTCAGGTGCACAGAAACAGGAAATGAAGCAGGGGGAAAGGGGATGATGGGGTTGGATCTTAAATACCACACTGAGGAGTCTGGGGATTTTCTTCGAGGCAGCAGATGGCCACAAAATCCCTGGGGACAAGGGGTGTGTAAGCGAAGGGCGGCGCAGGGACAGACGAAGAGCTTTGGAGGCTGGCGGTGAGGGCAGGTGAAAGATTTCCCTCTAAGTAACAGTCATTTCAGGACTTCCGCTTCAAAACAAGGAAGCCAGTGAGTGAGAGAAACCAGAAGGTGGAGGCTGATGAAGGAAGCAGAGCAAGAGAGGTGTCCATCTCCACCCCTTCTCGCCCTCCTGTGGAAAGGGTTCCCTAGCCTGAGGCTTTTGCAGAGCTTCTCAGCTGTGGTCCCCAGGCCGGCAGCAAACCACCACCATCATCTCTTCTATTACCACCACCACCATCTCCTCTGTCACTACCACCACCACCACCACCACCACCACCAGCA